GTATGTCACGGGTCTTCGAAAGCTTCGGGACCATTCACAAAGCGCAGCAAGACTTGCTCATGCACAGTGGAAAGCCGGCTGTGAAGCTGCAAACAGTTGCATGCAGCTTCCCAAAGTAAACATGCGGGTGCCAGGGACCCGAAGAGCCAGCTCAGTTGAGGACCATTCTGGATCTCTGGACAGATAAGTGTCCTAATATTAACAGTCAGCAACTACAGTAATTGTAGTTTCTGACTTTTATTTTTTGTTTCTAGGGTGAAGAACCGCTTTAATTCTTGAAAAGGCAATAGTCTTTACAGACCTCAATCACAGTAACAGATCCTAACTGGGCTATTATTTTTTGGGGAAAAACTCTTGGATATGGTGGTTCTTTACATTCTGTGGTTCTGTGTATAGCTTGAAGGTTCCCTAGATAGGGCAACGATACTGATAGAGTACTGTACACAGCTCTTTCCATCTTTTTTTAAACCGCTTTCCGACTGCTCTATAGTAGAACTACTTCTACAGGGTGGCAGGGCTGCACAAAATCATATGTATATACGTGATTTCGCATTTCCGGGTAGGGGGGGTGCTCACCTCCCTACCCGTGTCACCATTGGCTGCTACAGCTGTCGATCACCGGGTCCTGGCCGTAGATTCCCCGCCAGCACCTGGCGATCGCCGAGGAACACTGACAGGGGAGAGGTCTGTGTGTAAACAATACAGATCTCTTCCCTGTCAGCACCAGCATAATGTGAAACACACACAGCACACAGTTAACCTATTGATAACCCCAGATGTTAATCCCTTCCTGCCCAGTGTCATTAGTACAGTGTCAGTGCTTTTTATTAGCACTGATCACTGTATTAGTGTCACTGGGAATGTCAGTGGCAGTTAGTTCCCCCCCAGTGTGAGAATGCACACCGCAGTCCTGCTATAAGTCGCTGATTACTGCCATTACTAGTATATATAAAAAATCCAAAATTCCAGTATATATACCGCCATTTGTAGACATTATAACTTTCACATAAACCAATTAATTGACACTTATTTGGTTTTTGTTTTTTAGCAGAGACATGTAGCAGAATCAATTTTGGCCTAAATTTATGACAAAATTGGATTTTTTTAAAAATTCTTTTTGCTGGACATGTTTAATAGCAAAATGTCAAAAATTGTGAGTTTTTTTTTAAAATTGTCGGGTTTTTTTTTTGTTTTTTAGAGCAAAAAATAAAAACCGCAGAGGTGATCAAATGCCACCGAAAGCTCCATTTGCGGGAAAAAAAAAAAAATTTAATTTGGGTGCAGCGCTGCAGGACCGCGCAATTGTCAGTTAAAGTAACCCAGCGCTGTATCGCAAAAAATGGCCTGGTCAGGAAGGGGGGTAAATCCTCTGGAGGGCAAGTGGTTAAGGAAAGCTCCCATACCGATGTCCTCTGCCTGAGCATATTTTCTATTTCACAAGTTTGATGAGTTCGCAGAGCAGGCCTCCTTAATTTGCATTACAGACATTTGGGTAGACACCTTGAAGTGAAGCTTGGCTTCCACAGCTGATTTTCTTATTTAAGAGACGCAATTCTCTCTCTTTCTGATGAACTACAGCACCAACTATTCCCCCAATGTCATTATCTATGGATGACTGTTTATAACCATTCATTGACACTACAAATTTCCTTACAGTATACTGTTTTTTTTTGGGGGGGGGGGGGGGGGGCTCTAGACTGATTTCCACAGAATTCAGGGACATTTTTATAGACCTGATGGGTCATGTAGACATGTAAAGAATACCCGTTACCTAGATATATATCCTCCTGCGCTTTTATGTCCCATACCAAGCGAAGGCAATATGAATAAAATATAAAAGTTGATGCAGCGCTAAAAGTTCTTATACCTGAACAAAGTACAAAATCAGAATATGTAGATAGGTGTATAAAGATGACCCAAATCCACATGGGGAAAAGTAGGAAACAATGGCCCTCAATAAACAGATAACAGTGGTTAAGTGCAGGATGAAGTGTCCGTAGTTCATATATCTAAAGAAGTGCAGGTGAATCACAGCACACTCCAAAAACGTGATCCCAGGCAGTCTTGCTGCAATGGCCTCTCACCTCCACTCTATGACCCTACAGGGCCACAAAGCATACTGTAGATCACCTCGGAATCCTCCAATTCAGTGACTCTTTAGATAGGATGGCATCACATGAACAAGGACAGTATTCATCCAGACCAGTAGGCAAACGGAACACAAACACTCTCCTCCGATGTCACAACCGCTCATAGGCTCATAAATGAGGAGATAAACACAGTCCTCATAGTGTATTACCGCTTTAATTGCAAATGGGAAGCAAATATCCAAAAAGGGAAAAAATAATCCACTTACATGGCAAACAGCTTGTATACAGATGGCAATACTGTGCTGGGTGTACAGCAGGATCAAAAAGGTGCACCAAGATGGCGTCACGCCGGAAGTACGTCACCACGCTAATGCCGTCGACTCGTTGCGTCACGTAACTCGTGACTTCATCAGGACAGCGTGATTGGCCGGCAGTACTTCCTTTATAAAGGCCAGGAACCGCACCAATCCAGACTACAGTGGGCGGTGCGATCGCGGCCATATTCTAATGGTCCAATGTGCAGAGAACCTGTGCAGCCATATTACTGTGGTCCAATATGGACGGACCTTCTCCCATTAGGTCTAGCGATCCCAGTGAGGTAACATAACTAAAATAAAAGGCACCACACGGCCAATATCTCTCAATAGTGAGCACATTAATTATGGGGAGACTAATATAAAAAATAGATGTGGAAAACCACATACTTTAATAATGAATAAATAAGATAAAACGAGCATGTCCATATAATAATATATAGCTTGCCCTATTTTTTATATTAGTCTCCCCATGATTAATGTGCTCACTATTGAGAGATATTGGCCGTGTGGTGCCTTTTATTTTAGTTATGTTACCTCACTGGGATCGCTAGACCTAATGGGAGAAGGTCCGTCCATATTGGACCACAGTAATATGGCTGCACAGGTTCTCTGCACATTGGACCATTAGAATATGGCCGCGATCGCACAGCCCACTGTAGTCTGGATTGGTGCGGTTCCTGGCCTTTATAAGGAAGTACTGCCGGCCAATCACGCTGTCCTGATGAAGTCACGAGTTACGTGACGCAACGCGTCGACGGCATTAGCGTGGTGACGTACTTCCGGCGTGACGCCATCTTGGTGCACCTTTTTGATCCTGCTGTACACCCAGCACAGTATTGCCATCTGTATACAAGCTGTTTGCCATGTAAGTGGATTATTTTTTCCCTTTTTGGATATTTGCTTCCCATTTGCAATTAAAGCGGTATTTAATACACTATGAGGACTGTGTTTATCTCCTCATTTATGAGCCTATGAGCGGTTGTGACATCGGAGGAGAGTGTTTTCCGTTTGCCTACTGGTCTGGATGAATACTGTCCTTGTTCATGTGATGCCATCCTATCTAAAGAGTCACTGAATTGGAGGATTCCGAGGTGATCTACAGTATGCTTTGTGGCCCTGTAGGGTCATAGAGTGGAGGTGAGAGGCCATTGCAGCAAGACTGCCTGGGATCACGTTTTTGGAGTGTGCTGTGATTCACTTGCACTTCTTTAGATATATGAACTACGGACACTTTATCCTGCACTTAACCACTGTTATCTGTTTATTGAGGGCCATTGTTTCCTACTTATCCCCATGTGGATTTGGGTCATCTTTATACACCTATCTACATATTCTGATTTTGTACTTTGTTCAGGTATAAGAACTTTTAGCGCTGCATCAACTTTTATATTTTAATACCCGTTACCTGCTTATATTTACTTTAAATGTTTCATGTGTAGTAGTTTAGGAAGTAAAAACACTTGAGAATTTCTTGTCAAGTTTTGCATTTTTCAAGTGTTTGTTAACCTCTACAAAGGAAAATAAGAAAATCATATCCTCATATAGCATGTATTTCCCTCAGTCCTCAGCACTTAGTGTGGATCCTGGATGCTCTGTCCTTCCTCTGAAACCTGCATGTGTCACCAGGCAATACATAGTGATGGCCCCTCTCTCCAAGCACACAGCAAGTGAATGACATCCTCAGATGTGCATGTTTCTCAGTAAGACTGTGTAGAGGAGGGGGTGTTCATTCCCGTTTCTCAGGTGTCAAATTACACTCAGCTCTGCTGTGCAGTGTGTGACAGCAGATTCCCGCCTCCTGGAAGCTGAGAAATACTACCTGATCTGTGTACTTTAGTAGGCTGTAGAGGAAAGAGGGCTGCAGGTAAACCGGTACAGCGAGTAGGGAGAGGATTTGTTTCGTCTCTGTGTATTACTTGGGGCTAGTCACTTCATTGGGTATATGTAAGGGTTTAATATCACTTTAGGTTTTCCGTGAACTCTTGGATTTAACAGTTATTATTGTCTCTTGTTTCTAGTGACATAACAGGCCAGACAAATTTCCATTTTATGTAAATACATCAAAATGAGAAATACCATGTAGCATTCTAGTGTAACTATAAAGGTGCTTTTGTGGAGCATTTTCTGTGGTATTCCTATACCACTTATTTACACAGCTACATATTATAGCTATGGATGTTCCAATCTTCTTCAGCATCATCTCTATGCTTGCCAAGCAATCCCACAAATGGCTGACACACTCTCTCCGATTTACTAGGGCAGTAACATATATTAATAATTGATTGCCCAATGAAAAGTGTTGCAGAATATGACAAAAATGTGGTCATAAATATTCACATAAAGATTATATGAATATAGGCCATATACTAATTAGGTTACTCTGAATAGTCACTATAAATAAAACACACTGGCGTCAGGGATGGTCATTTTTGCAGAGACCAGTCAGCGTTTGTGAACTCCATCAAATTGCAGATAACTTAAGAGATGGAAAGGTAAGGAGAGATTTTAAAAAAGGGAAAAAAAATAACTTGAGCTGCTGTCAGTATGTTTGTTACATTTGTTTACTATTGTTTGTAAATATTTTTTATTCCAGATTTCAATATGTCATGAGCTTCCAAACATTGAAGTTATGACTTTGAGGTAAGTCACTTTCCTTTAATTTAAATTCTATACATAAGCAAACAGAACAATATATCAATGATGTATTATTTTTAAGGATATACTGTTTTATGCATTTTTCTACTTCCTGAGTCACAGGAAACTTTTGTAGTCCATAGAATATTTATCAGCATTAAGATATATTAGTTTTTATTCCTTTTTAGGGACATTTTGGCATATTTCTCCAAAGTCAAATATCTCTTGTTCATTGGTAAGCTAGTTATGTATTTGTTCATAGCATGACATAACCCCTTCTGTAATAAGAAAATACAGATTTATGAGCACCCAGATGCTAATCAGACATTTTCAGTAGTGATGTATACTGTGTTCTTTATCTTACATCTGTGCTGCAACTGTATTGTAGATAATGTGAGATTTGTTTTTTTGTTTTTGTTTTTTGGAACATGTAAATTTGGATTTGCTGTACTCTCCCCAGCAGTGGAGAGTCAGGAATTTCCCTATAAACTAGAAATGGTGTTTATGCTGTGTTAATGGTTGTTGAACAAAAAAATACTGCATTCAGCATTTTTTGTAATGCTGTTTTGCACTGGAATTAAGGAATTAAGCATTTTAAAAAATGAGTTAGATCTTAAAACAAGCTTGTTAATTTTTTTAGAGCTCTTGCACACAAGTACCTGAGCTTGCGCAACATAACTTACACCATATTTTCCCCACCTGGGAAGCCCAGGTTGCCTAAAGACATGAATGGCCGTTCGCAGCTGTACTCTGGTAAACACTGGCATTTGTGTGTACACCAAAATATACCCAAGTATTTCTATTCATGTCTGTGGGTGGCTGTATGCAGCACCTAGGCTTCCCAGGAATGAGAATTATGCCAGATTTACATTGCACAAGCTCAGGTGCCCATGTGCAAGACCCCTTAAAGTTTCCAATCTAAGCCTTTTTCAAGAGTATGTACCAGAAAGTGTATCCTACTAGTTACTTTCAAAACTCTCCTTAGTGTGCTGGATAGGCCCTCTGATACCCTTTGTCACTAAAACCTGGACTTCTTTGACTTGAGTGCAAAGACCTACCACTAGAACTAAGCCTTTCATATGTTTTCTTTTTACCAACCAATGAGAGTGTCATTACGATAAACTGAGATACTCAAATTATAGATCTAAAACTAGACAGTAGTGCAAATATTAGTCTACTGGCAGCCATCGGAAGGCAACAGAATATAGTTATACAGAGCAGTGGTTCCCAAATTCTATCCGTTCCCTATATTTTAGAACAATCGTTCCCAAAACAATGTATTTTTGGTTTATCTAGTTATTTTTAGTACACTTTATGAAACCCAGAATGAATTGCAGTTATTTGATTTAAAGTTAAAACTTTTGTGTGTGTGTGTGTGTATGTGTGTGTGTGTATGTGTGTGTGTGTGTGTGTATATATATATATATATATATATATATATATTATAACTCCTTGAGATATATCATCTTTAGTATATCTACCTGTAGTGACCCATTGTTGTTCTAAAACAGAGCAGAGCCATATCGTTTTATTAAATAAACATTGCATGCATTTTACCATTTTTCCTTGTAGTTTTGATTTGAAGCCAGGGCTGTTTCCCAGGGCCATCTGTTGGGCGATTTATTTGAATCTTTCCAGCAGCAAAATTGAAAGTTGGACATGTTTACGGTTATCACAGGAAATAGCTAGTGCAAGTCATTGACACAAGTGCCTTATGCACATTCATTGTTAAAGTAATATTAAACTCTCAGATATTTAAAGCACTTTCAGCAACAGATTTAAAGTGATATTAAAGGCATTTAAAAAAAGAAAACACAAAACAAACTTACCTGCTCTGTGCAGTGGTTTTGCACAGAACAGCCCCAATTCTCCTCTTATCGGGTCCCCCGCCGATGCTCCTGTCCTCTTCCTCCTGCCAAGTGCCTCCAGATTAAGCAGCTTGCTATGGGGGCACCCAAGCAGTCTTGCTCCCAAGTCGCTGTTCTACATGTCCATTCTTACACAGAGCCACGGCTCAGTCCCCCGCCCTGCCCTGCCCCTTCTCTCTCCTCGTTTGCTCACTGGCTGTGATTGACAGCAGCAAGAGGCAATGGCTCCCACTACTGCCTCAGCCAGTGAGAAGAAAGAGTCCCTGGAGAGCCGAAGCTCTCTTGTGCACATCGCTGGATCGCGATAGGGCTCAGGTAAGTATTTGGGGGGGCTGCTACACACATAAGGTTTTTTTAACTTAGTGGATTGAATGCTTGAAGGTGAAAACCCTTGAGCCTTTACAATCACTGTAATTGCTTACTGAGTATGCAGCTCATTTATCTTTTAGGCTAGGTTCAGACATATGCGGTGCAAAATTCATTCAGATTTCTAATGCTATTCAGTGAGCAGATGCGATGTGCATCACCTGCAATTGTGCTTGAATACTAATGCATTTTCCATGCAATTTTGGTACAGCTGTGATTTTGGATCCCTCTCTCTCACTCTGCAAAGGTGGTCAGTAACACAGTGTATACCTATCAACAACGCATTCGAATTGCATTACATATGAACACCGATCCACATGTGGTTTATTTAAGCTCCTATGGATCTCAAAATTGGATCACACTGCTCCAAACTTGCACATGATCCTTTTTCAAAATGCACTGCAGCTGGACTGCATATATGTGAACAACCTCCATAGGAAAACATTTTATTGCTCATGTCATGCGAATCATTGTCCTTCAAAACGCATCCAAAAACAGATGTCTGAACCATGGCGTAATCCTTTTTCCAGTTTCAGCATTATCCTTTCTCCAGGTTTCCTTTTTCAGAGTAGCTCGTTTTATCTTGCAGCATCCTAGGGAGTTGCCCTTGTTTGCAGGGGCTAGATTAGCATCTCCCTACATTGTGCGCTCAATAGAAGCACACATCTCAGTAGCCCAGGATGGCAAGGCACTCCTCCACCCCCCCTACTTTCTTCAAGCTAATAGACTGACCTGAGACTCCACTGTTAAGTCCTTCCTGTAAAGACCAGAAGTTCAGGGAAAATGCACAGAGAGCAGGAGCCAGCAGCATTGGAAGTTGTAAACTACAATTGATGAGGTAACCAATAATTGGGGAATCTCTATTTGATTGTTCTCAATCTGTTAAGCCAAAAAAAGCTGAGGGTTTAATACTACTTTAATACTTAGTATTCATTAACCACCTCCCGCCCGCCATATAGTAAAATGATGGGCGCAAGGTGGTTCTCTCGTTCTGGAAGGACGTCATATGACATCCTCCCATTCTCACCGCGCATGCACGACTCTGGGAGCGTGCAGCGCTGCGATCGGCGGTGCGCTGTGTCCCTCTGACACAGTGGATCACCGATCCACGGAAAGAGCCGAAGATGTCGGTTTGATCATGTGATCAGCTGTGTCCAATCACAGCTGATCGCATGTAAACAGGGAAATGCCGGTTATCGGCATTTCTCTCCTCACGAGCTGTCACACTGACAGCTCGAGAGGAGAGCAGAGCCGGTAATCGGCATTCCTCGGAGGGGACACGTGCACTGATCATCAGGGCACTGATGATCAGTGTGCCCTGATGATCAGTGTAGCCCCAGCAGCGCCACCTGTCAGTGTCCATCAGTGCTCATCCATGCCACCTGCCAGTGCCCATCAGTGCCACATCAATGCCACATATCCGTACCTACCAGTGCACATCAATGCCACATATCAGTGCCCATCTGAGCTGCCTTTCAGTGTCACCCATCAGTGCCAATCAGTGCCACATATCAGTGCTGCCAATCAGTGCCACCTAGCAGTGTGCATCAGTGCCTCCTTTCAGTGCCCGTCAGTGCCGCCTATCAGTGCTGCCTTTCAGTGCCCATCAGTGATGCCTGTCAATGCCCATCAGTGCCACTTACCAGTGCCACCTATCAGTGTACATCAGTGCAGCCTATCAGTGCCCATCACCGCAGCCTCATTAGTGCACATCAGTGAAGGAGAAAAATCACTTATTTACAAAATTTTATAACAAAAACTAAGAAAAAACTTTTTTTTTTTTCAAAATTTTCAGTGGTTTTTGGTTTGTTTAAGAAAAAATAAAAACCCCAGAGGTGATTAAATACCACCAAAAAAAGCTCTATCTGTCACAAAAAAAAATGATACAAATTTCATATGGGTACAGTGTTGCATGACCGCGCAATTGTCATTCAAAGTGTGACAGCGCTGAAAGCTGAAAATTGGCCTGGGCAGGAAGGGAGTATAAGTGCCCTGTAGGCAAGTGGTTAAGATCACATAATTGGTGGCAATGGCTGGAAAGGATAGCTAAGAGTTCTAAAATAAGTTTATAAGGATGACAGGTTTTACTTAGCTAGGCAATAAAAATAAATAAAATGTAGCCTGTCTTACTACAATGCTATGTTTTCTGTTGTGCAACAGAGACCTGACATTTAAATCTTGATTTATTACTTTTTTACAGTGTAAATAGCATTTCCACCCTTGAACCAATTAGCCATTGCCAAAATCTGACTGAGGTGTATTTGAGAAAGAATAATATCTCCAACTTGGGTGAACTTTACTACCTTAAGCTGCTACCAAGACTGAAAATACTGTGGTTATCAGAGAACCCATGCTGCAGCCCAGATCCTTATAGATACAGAATGACAGTCCTGAGAAACCTGCCCAACCTTCAAAAGCTTGACAATCAAGGTAATGTCCAAATGTAATCTATTTTCTCTTTAAACGTTATATCACTTTAGGAACATCTTTTATCTGTTTGAAAAACGTTTCACAACTATATCAATGTCACTGAACAAACTAAAAATAGCATTAAGGAAAAAAAAATAACCCTAGAGAAATACTGGAGATGCCACACTTTATAGAACAACAGCTATTAACATTCCCTCTGTAGACAGCCTGTTTAAGGGGAGTGTATAATACACAAGCAAATCGTACTTTGAAAGCTTACTTCTGGGTAAAACAAAAATTAATCCTTGCCGTAGGGCTTACCCCATATGGGATTAAATGCTCAATTTTATCTGGGGGAACAGAAAAAGCAAAGCCATTATACTTGCCTTTTATCTTGCTCACCAAGCAGAGCTAGCGCTCTTCTGTGCATTCCAACACACAGGGCTGTGGTTGGGCACTGAATACTCTCCCGGCTGGTTTGGAATTGTGTGTGATGACATTAGAGAGTCTGCGATCCATGAAGCAGTGAAAAGAATTGACTTTGGGAATGGTCACGAAGCTAAGAAGAACAAGAGATAAGGTAAGTGTAGCAGCTTTTTCTGTTCTCCCACTGTTAGGGTTAAGTGTTATTGTTACTGTGAAATGCTTATGGGGACCACAGCCTATCTTTTGCATCAAATCATTGTGGAAATTCACTATTTCACCCCACTGCCTTTTATTTGTAATCTGGTGAGTCTGCTTTTAACCGCTTCCCACCCAGCCACTGCACATAAATGACCAAGTGGGAGCTTCGTCGTTCTGAGTGGACATTCAGGAACATCCTTCAGAACATGTGCACAAGCGCGGCCTCGTGGCCACGCAGCTGTGCGCTCTTGGTGTACCTGTGTTCCTTGGGCACAGCACAACACCGCTCGGCAGAATGGCCCTCTGGTTGGCCCTTCTGATCACATGACAGCTGTGTCCAATCACACCCGTCATGTGATGTCAACAAAGCGTCAGTGATCCACATCTGTCACAGTGCCAGTGCCCCACCCAAGCACATCAATGGCGAACCCAGGACTGTCCACACAAAGAAGCAGACGGGATGCTGCTGCGCTGGAATGCATAATGGCACACACATATAAAGTAATGAAAACAGTCACGATGCAACAGAACATCACTAATTATCTGTAATGCCAAATCCACTTACTGATGAGGACCAAAATAATGACAGGTAGCTTAACTCCAAAAAATCTGAAAAGGATTAACCAAGGAGAAAAAGGGGATCACTTCTGGGTCATTTACCTGTAACAAGTAGAAACATTTTTTTGGACAAAAATATTCAAAAAGAAATTTTCAGTAGAAATTGTCAAATATGCCTTTAAATGTAATGCTAGATTGATCCAGCAGGATGTGGAAATAGGGACATACCCAAAGGCAATGCAGTCCTATATGGATAGGCCAGACTATATCAGCCATGTATGGGCTTGATGGCCAGCTTAAGTATCCCCCAGGAGGCTTGAAATTGCTCCAATGGGGTTGCAGAAGAGAGTGACAGGCTCAATCAGAGCCTATCATGGCACTCAGCACAATCACAGCAGCTTCTCCCTGGCAATGGGGCGCACGGTGTCGCCACACCAATGTGTCGTGATTACATCACGCCGCCGATAAATGGACTGAGACCAGGAAGAGGAGCAGCCAGGAGAGAGCGCACAGCAAGCCTCTCTCTGGTGGAAGAACAATGTACCGCCTCCCACACCTGGCAATCGTGGCCAGAGACCCCGGAAATGGGGATCGTGGCCCTTCTGTGCGCCGGGGGGGGGGACACAGAGGCAGCAAAGAAGTGGCAAAGAGAAAAAAGTTTGAACAAAAACAAAAGGGGAAAAAAGTGTGTAAGAAATATAGGAAAAAAGCAGATGCAGAGCATGAAAACGAAGAGCTTCAGCAATAAACGGAAAAAACAAAAGGAGAGAAAATGGAACATTAGCAGAAGGACAGAATCAAATACAGAAAAATGAAGAATGCAATTAGAGAACATGAACATTCCTACAGCATGACGTTAATGCACAGTTATTTAATGAATAAATGTACATACATGAAAAAAACATATAATATATGAGCAAAAAAAAAAAAAAAAGGGGGGGGGGGGGGGAAGGAAAAAAGGAGGGTCACAGGTCCTTTTCACACCCACCTGATACAAATCCCTCCAAAAATGGCTTAAACAACTTCTTTTCATTCCGCCCTGGAAAGGAGGTGGCATTAATTTTATGAATCCATCTGAGTTTGAGTTCACGTCGGAGCAGGTTCCTATTCCATCCCCCCCCCCCCCCCCCCCCCCCCCCCCCCCCCCCCCCGACCCTGTCGAGAATCAAAAATTGTACTTTAGGAAAATTCCCCCCCATGGAGCCCCAATGTGTGACAGCCTAAGGGTACCTCAATATTATTGGATTTCATGCTAGAAACATGGCGATACATACGACGCCACAGTTCTAGTTTTGTCTTTCCCACATAATAAACAATAAATCACACCCTTGGTTTTTTAAGGCAGGTGGAGGAATAACCCCCTTGAAAAAAGGCGTTGCCTCAATTTGTCTGCTTCCTTTTATAGGCTATATCATCAGAGCAATTATGCCTGATGTGTAGATATTGGCCTTATGGGATGGCTTTAATGAAAGAATTGGGATGAAAATTGGAAGCATGTAAAATGGTGTTGCCAGCCGTTGCCTTACGGTACAAATCACTATTTAAGATGCCATCTTCATTTTTATAGATTTGAACATCTAAAAAAATGATTGTTTTGCTATTAAAGGACATAAAAGTAAACTTTAAGTTGAGATTGTTAACATTGATGATCTGCATGAATTCTTTTAGTTGGACAGCAGAACCCTCCCATATCATGAACACTTCGTCAATGTATCTATACCATAATGAAATTAAATTGACAAATGGAGCCAGCTCAGTAGTATCCATAAGTAGACATTCCCACTCCCCCAGGTACAGATTTGCATAGGAAGGGGCACAACAGGTACCCATAGCTACGCCCTGTATCTGGAGGAAGTGGGAACCATTGAAAGTAAAAACATTGTGATTTGAAATAAATTCAAGTGACTGCACAATTAATTCGTTAAAGTGCCAATTATCAAAGGCTTTTGAGAGAGGATAAGTCGGATGCATGCTAAACCTTTGGAATGCGGTATAGAGCTATACAGTGTCTCGATGTCAAGGGCTACCAAGAGAGCTGTAGGAGAGACTTGAAGTCCATCAATGATTTGCAGTAGATGAATAGTGTACTTATGAATAGTGGATAGGCTTGTAACATATGGCCTTAAGTGGTCATCTGTTAGTTTGCTCAGTTTTTCAGCTAGCGAGCCATTCCCTGAAATTATTGGTCTACCTGGGGTAAGGTTGAATCGTTGTGCACTTTGGGTAGGGAGTAAAATGTCGGGATATGGGGAAAACTTGTTCTCACAAATTCCCACTGGATTTTAGTGATGGTAGGCCAAATCTATAAATTGATAAAATTCATCTTGAAATCTACGGATTACCGTAGTGGAAATCGGACGATATCACTCTTTGTTTTGAACAATTTTGTAGCACATAGTTTAATATTGTTTGTTATCCATGATTACGACATTACCTCCCTTATCTGAAGGTTTTATGGTAACATTATGATTGGCTGCTAAGTTGTGAAGTGCTTGTTTTTCTTGCGAAGACATGTTGCTTTGGGAGGAACGGATCTTGAGTTGGGTAATTTCCTGGCTAACTAATTTAGCAAAAGCTGCCACATTAGGGTTAAGACTTAAAGAGGGACATTTTTCCGATTTATTTTCTTGTTTGTACTAACATTTGTATTAGTTGGAGAGGGCTTAGTTTCTTGATAGTCACAAGATTCAAATTCTTTGAGTATCTCCTCAATATCGAATCTATCAATAAGGTCTTCTGAATTGTTTTCCTCAAGCAATGATAGCAGGGTGGCAAGGGCTTCATCTTGCAAGTTCTGAGTATCGAGGGATTGCTTAATTTTATTTTTTGTATAGATAGTTTTTAGAATTAATTTCCTAGAAAAAAGTTGTATATCTTTGATGGCTTCAAATTTATCCATATTTGCATCTGGACAAAAGCTCAGGCCTTTAGTAAGAATGTTAATTTCATGTGTAGATAGATTATGTGATGAAAGATTAATGACACTCAATTCATTGTCCCTAATTGGGGACTTTGGATCCTCTACTATAAATTTCTCGAGTCTTTGCCTAAGTTGGGATGATTGTGAGTTGTCTCTAAAAAAAACCTTCCTTGGGCATAGATGAAATACTCCCAGGAATACAGGGAATTACATTAGAGGGAACTATGTTCTTCAATGGGTGTAGAGTAGGAAGAGTAGTAATACAATCGTCAACACTTACATTACCTCCTATATCTGTGAGGTCCCTGTTGGAACCATTGAGGGGTGCTTGTTCAGTAGTGCGCTTCTTGGAAGATTGGTCAAGCCCTCTATCATCGAGAGGGCTTCTTTTCCCTTTGCACAATTTTTTTAACCTATTTGAACTTTGGGATACAATAGAAGGATTAGATGAGGCTAGGGAGGAATCAGAATGAATGTCATCAAAATTTCCATAATTTATTTTATTTTTAAAGGATTTTTGGCTTAAATGCCATTTATATGCTTTATGATCACAAAATGCTAATTTATCCCTGCGGAATTTTTTTTCCTTAGTGATCAATATTTCTTTAGTGTGTTGTTCAATATGTATTTTAAGATCACATTCAGATTGGAAAATTTGAAATGACTGTAAAATGGCAATAAACTGGAATATGTATCGTCAATTTCTTTACCAATCTCTTTTAATTTACGATTATAGTCCTCTATTAATAAAAACATCATATTTCTAAAACACATTTAAAGATTATTCTCCCATTCTTCCTTAAAGGTTAGAATAACATTTTCTATAGTGGGGATGATTTTATCTCTCAGCCCGAATGGATTAATGTCTGCCTTAATATAGTTCTCGAATGATTGTACTGCCAGAAAAGCGATACTTTTT